GGAGGGGCTCCTGGGACTCCTGGGGCGCGGGCTGGTCCGGGGCGGACCCCGCTGCAGCTTCCTGTGCGCTCTTGGCCTGAAATCCAGGAAGGTTGACTGGTGAAACATAGAACGTCCAGGGGTCTTGTACACCTACCTGTTTCCGTGTTTTTAATTTTTTTTCTATATTGTGGATTGAATCCAAGGTCTTCGCACTGAGCTATAACCTCAGGCTTTTTAAAATTTTTTGAATTTTTGAGACAGACTCTAAGTCACCAAATTGCACAGGCTAGGCTGGAACTTGGAATCCTCCTGCCTCAGCCTTCCAGAGCTCTGGAATTACAGCCGGGCCTGGTTTGTGTCCATCTTCTTGCACTCCCAAAGAGGAAGCCAACAGCGTGCCAGGGGTAAAAATCTGCTGGATTGGGGCAGCAGCATCAGGGTTATTTTGGAGAAGCAGAATAAATGGTGGGAAGTTTAAGGACGAAAAGGCCCAGCTGGGCTTTGTGGGAAGTCTTGGGGGTGTTTGCTGGTTCAGGTGAGTGGTAAGGCCAGTTGTCTGTTCAGGGGCAGAGTCCCTGCCCTGAGCTCTCTAGGGAGGTGACCACAAAGGAGAGCCCAGGGAGGCTTCCAAGGCTGACGCCCACTCATGTAATCAGGGATGGGCGGTCCTGAAGTGAGTGAGAAAAACTCTAAGCACCTAGGGTGAAGGGTGACACAGGCAGGGTCCCAACGGTTGAGGTCCTCTGGGGAGAAGTGGGCTTAGATGCCACTGGTGTCCGGCTGAGCCCAGGAGGCAGCTGCAGCCTGTAGCTTGTGCCTCACAGAGGTCAGGTCTGTGGCAGCAGGAAACTTGGCAAGGAAACCAAACCTTCATGGACCCTTGCGGTCCCACCTGCCCTGTCCGACCCCGTCTCTGCTCAGAAGGTGCTGGAGGAGGAGCAGCACCCAGAGGACCAGGCAGAGTGGCCTTGGCTGTGAATGTAAAGGGAGGGCAGGCAGCGCGTGAGGAGAAATCCCTGCAGTTTGTGTAAACTGCAGGCTGCTGCGGGGAGGAGATCCCTAGAACTCGGGACAACTCTGGGGATTCGCTGCTCCCTCTATCTCCGGCTTCTGTGTGTCTTCACACACCTGTTCCATTCTGTCCTGCATGCCCCAGACTCTGATAAGTGTCTTCCAGGGCAGGATGTTTGCATAGGTCTGGGAGCATCCTGCTATAAACAGAACCAAACTATGATGGGAAAGCTAGAAAAGTGCTTTGCCATGTTGAAAATGCCTGCTTGTTCTAAGTGGCCAGGGAAATGGCTTTTATTGGAATACTCAGGCAAATTTAATTCACATCTCTGTGATTAGCAACACTTAACAAACCCATCTCAGCTACAGCCTTTCATTGTTCTGAGAGTACACTTTTGGTGGGAGGAGGTATTACAGACAAGGTCTCACTGTGTGGTTCAGACTGGCCTTGAACTCACAATGTAGGCCAGACCCACCTCAAACTCTCAGCCGTCCTGCCTGGGCCTCCCGAGTGTCGGGATCTATAGGCAAGTTACCACACCAGGTGTGCAATCACTCTTGGAGCTCAGTCCATTATCCACACAGAGGCCAGCACTGCAGACCCCAAACTCCTGGCTCAAGCTTGACCTTGACAGTCGGCAAGCCAAGCAATCGTGGCTTCCTCGGTCTGGGGCCAGTGGTGGGCAGACCTGGAAACCATCTGGAAATCTCAAGAGGTTTGGGTATCACCAGACTCTTGCTGTCCAGTGACTCTGGATGGGTCTCCTGGACTCCACTGACACCAGCTTGTACGGAGGCTGGGTTCACTGGCCTCCTTTGAATTCTGTCACCTAGATTGATACCTGTTCCTCCAAACAGCCCTGTCCCTGAACACTTGCCTGTCCCCAACGCCCTCCTCGCCTCGCCTCCCTAAAGGACAGTCATGAACAGATATAATTAGTGCAATTATTCTAATTGGCATTCTTGGCTTTAGTCACAGAATAAAGTCCCAGAACTAATTTTGATAATATTCCCGTTAGAGTTGCGGGGGTGGGGGTAGTTGGCTCTGTGCCTGGCTGTGGGATTTTTCCCTTCAAATCTTTTAAATTGTCACAGACACAGTATTAAATAGAACGGCGCTGCTGTGGGAGGAGGACACTCCCTGCCCGCACCCTCTCCTCTGAGCTCTGCAACAGCATGGGGACTCTGGTCAGGGATCCGCCCCTCCCCACTCAGTCCGGGGATGGGCACATGACCCATGTGACCAGGCCTCCCAAAGCCAGGACGTCGCTTGGCCACACTGAATGGCTCAGGAATTGGCAGGAATCTCTGGGAACAGATGCTTTCTGTTGGACTTGCTACCCCAGGAGGATGTAATCGAGGAGGCCTGCCTGAAAGTGGTGCCATCATCAAAGAAGCAGAGATGCAAGATGACAGACTGGGAAACAACTAGCCCTAGTAGCCACATTTGGGCTTTTGTTGGTACACTGTCTCTGTGCTGGTGAGGATGGAGTCCAGGCAAGGCTGGCCTGTGCTAGGCAAGTGATCTGCCCTGAACTGCACCCCAGCCTGCTGGACTTCTGGATCCTGAACTTGTCAACCATTTGACCCCCACTTCCTTGTTTTCTCAAGCTAATTTGAGCTTGTGCTCTGTCACTTGCAATTATGTAAGTCCTGCCTGATACAAAGCAGGGGGGAAACGTCCCTAACACTGCAGCTCGCTCTCAGAGGTCCCTCAGCCTCCCTACCCTGAAAGGGACAGGATGGCAGGGTCCCCACCGTATTACCTGCTCCAGCAACTGCTGCTGCCTGGCAGCCGCCTCCAGCGCAGCCAGTTCCTTGAGTCGGGCCCGGAGGTGGGCAAGCTTGCCGCCTTTGCCCCTCTTGCCCATCTTCCCTGCTGCAGCCAGGGCCGCATTGAAGAGCTTGGGGGTGCCCGCCCGTGGCGGCAGGATGAGCACGCTCTTCTCCTCCTTGGGCTTGTTGTTGTTCCTCAGCATGCGCCTGGAAGACAGCAGCCCTGGTATCAGGAGTGCCCTCTGCGGGGAGAGCTGCATCCACAGACCCCGCTACGCAGAGCTGGGTGGTGAGGGTGGCTGTGGCTGATAGGTCTACGCAGACAAACTATAACGAGGTGGGTCTCCTCACTGCACCTACCAGATGAGTACACTGAGGCTCAGAGAGGCTGAGTACCTCTTCTGAGGCCACACAGGACAAACTGAAGGGCGCTGCCTTGGCTGAGTATTTCCCGCAGGCTTCATGCACTGAGAGCGTGGTCCCCAGTGTGCTGGGGCTGGGAAGTGGTGGGGTCACTGAGGGTGCAGCCTGCAGAAGACACTGGTGTGGTTCTCTAGCTTCCTGTCTTGCCAGGTGATCTCCCTGTCCAGTGTACTCCCACTACCATGTGCTGTGGGGCCCTGAAGCCAGCGCCAGTACCATGCACCTCCCCTCCACAACCGTGAGCCGAACAAACCTCTTTTCTTTATAAAGGACCCAGCCTTGGGTATTTCTTTTCTGTCTCCTCTGTCTTTCCTCCCTCCCTGCTTGGAATCAGACCTAGGCTCTGGCACACACTAGCCAAGCCTCTAGTGCTGAGTATACCTCCAGCCCCAGGTACTTAAATATATGGAATCAGAAATGGGAAGCCTGAGTGCAAACACATCCAAAGTCCCACTCCATCGTCCTTTCCCCAGGGTCACCAATGTCAGCACTGAGTGTCTGAGTCCTTCATAGACACCCCGGGCCCCCCAGTACCCTGCCTGAGGCTCTGGCCTCAGTGTGGGCCCCTCCCCTACAGAGTGAATGCGACACTCTGGATAGGCACTTACGCTTAATTAAGAGGATATACGAAGGGTGGGAGCCAGCCCCAAGTGTGTAGCCACAGAGGACCATGGCCACTGCCTGCTGGCCTTGATGAAGCAGCCAGCCATGCTGCGGGAGTCCAGGGAGCAAGAGCCAGGGCACTGGGCAGCGAGGGCTGAGGTGCCCATCCCACGGCCCCAGATTCCGCCAGCACCATGTGGTCCTGGGAACTGGTCCTTTCCCCATGAAGACTTCAGATGAGTCCCTTCTCGATGACAGCTCAGTGATAGCCAAGGGTCTGGACCCTGCGGAGGGTTCAGCTACACTTCTGTGCCACAGAAACTGAGATAACAGATGTGCGTGGTTTCAAGGTACTAAATTTGTAGTGACATTGTTATGTGGCCGTGGATAACTAAAACCCATCTCCGTTCTCAGCAAAGCCTCAGCACAATCCTTACAAGTAGTCTTACTATTCATGCTCATCTCTGAAATGAGGGCACAGAAGTCCGGAGGGGGTGAGTAACTTTCCGAAGGCCACACAGGTAGGAAATGGCACAGCTGGAATTCAAACTCACACTTCTGACCCTAGCACCACAGATCTTGATGTTACAAGGCAACATGATAGCCACTGCCTTCTTAGATGCAGACAATAATTCTGTGACATAGAAAGGACTGGGATCACTGTGGCCCTGACAGCTGGGAAACTGAGACACAAGCACAAGGGAGCAACATGCCCAAGGTTGTCAGAAAGCAGGAGAGGCAGAATCACAACCCAAATCCACTGCGATGTACCGCTCTGTGTTTCTAAATCAGGACACAATTTTCCATCAAGACAGCCCCCACTTTTCACAGGGAATTTTTTGTTGTTGTTGTACTATGAATATGTGATGAGCAGTTTGGCTCCAGGACAAATGAATTTTGTCTGCAAATCTAATGGCCTAGACTGCTAATTGGCAAATTCATTCATCAGGGTTCCCGGGGAACTTGTTTGTTTAAACGTGAGCCCATTACCAGCTGCTTATCTAATCAGAGGCAATGGGCTTAACTTTCACAGATTGATATTAATTATGGGAGATTTGCATTTTCTTGCAGAGTTCCCCAGGAGAACACAAACATGGTAATTCATCAGAGGCCCCTTAGACACCGGCCTGCTCTGTCACCTGTGTGGTTGGAGTCCATAATTCATGATGTGACAGTTGCAGGAAGGCTCCACGTGGGGCGTGGGGCTGAAATGAGACAAAAGCATTGTCCATGGGGCCTCGGCTGTTGCTAATGGCTGTCACTGTTCTGAAACACTGAGCTGGCTTCTGGGACGTTTCCTAAGGAATATTAAAGAGACTCCTCTCCATTTTTATTTTATTTTTAATTTGTTTGTTTGGACACAAGATGTCACCGCGTAGTCCAGGCTGGCCCTAATCTCACGGTGATCCTCCTGCCTCAGTCTCCCAAGTGCTGGGATTACAGGTGTGCTATAACACCACACCTGGCTTTCCCTTTCAGTTTTAGATGATAAACACTTCTCTATTAGGATCCTGCATTGCTCCAGAGAAAGGACCAGGCGAAAAACCTTTTCATCTCCTCTCTTGGAGTGGTGAAGCCAGAAAATGAAGCACTGTGCTTTTGGGGGATTCAGCTCCCTATTTTTAAAGGGAGGATCTTGGACAGAATCTCATGAGGGGAGATGGCCTCCACAATTCAGATGTCCCCAGTCCCTGTCTTTCTTCTGATGCACAGAACTCACCCTCGAACCCCACCCTCAGTGTTAGGGGTTTGTGCACTGCCTTGGGGGCTTTGCAGGCTCCCAGCTAATCCAGATAGGGGGCAGAAATAGGACAGGGATCTGGTGGCAGTTTTCAGACATAAGCAGCTGAATCTGGTAATTTGCTGTAACTGTCTCCGGTAAGATCCTTGCAAACATGGAGTTAGCAAAGCCAGGACCACCACTCCTAGGGACACACCGGTGAGGTTCCTATAGGCCTGCACAGCAGTCTTGCCCAACTCACCAGGGCCTAATCTGGCCCTGTGCATGCTTCCGGCCCAAGACTTCTCCTTTCATGTACATAGTTAAGTCATTAACATTGAGATTTCTTTTTTTTTCTCCTTCTCTGTGTCTCTCTGTCTCTCTCTCTGACATATATATACATGCATGCATACATGCATATGGCTATAATTCACATTCATGCACACAGGTGTGTACATGGGTGTTGCTTAGTGCTGCCCATGGGGGAGATCCAGGAGCACACCCAGCAATCCTAGGTGAGCATTCCCAGGACTCAGATCTTTTTTTCAAAGGACAATTTGTAGCTGCAGGTAGCTCAGGGATAGAGCACATCCTTAGCCTGTGGTTCAATCTCCAGTACCCCCCACACCCATGGAAGGAATCATGCTCCTTGGAGAAAATGGCCCTTTCCTGGGACTTGGCAGGGAAAGCACGAAATGCACGTTTTGCTCCTTGTGGAAGAACAAAAGCGCTGGAAGTTGATGACACTCAGAAAAGGGCAACAAGAGTCAGTATGAAGAGGTGCCCAGTGGCCAACCTGGGAAAATCAGAGGATCAAAATAGTGACTTTAGCCAGATGTGTTGGCACAGGCCTGTAACCCCAGCACTATGGGAGGCTGAGGCAGGAGGATGATAAATTCAAACCAAGCCTGAGCAACTAAGTGACTTAGGGAGCCCTTGTCTAAAATAAAAAGTAAAATTAAATGGGGCTGGGGACGTAGCTCAGTGTGAAGGCCCTCGTAGTAAAAAACAGAGAGAAGAGATATAGAGAGAGAGAGAGAGAGAGAGAGAGAGAGAGAGAGAGAAGAGAAACAGGATATTCGTGAAATAAATTCATGCTCATGTGAAGGATAAATGAACAAACCCTTCCTTAGAGGAGAATGCTAACCAGTAGACACAGAAGCAGAATTAGCATTTTGCAAACCTTATAGCAATCAGTGATTTAGTTTAGGAAACCATGAGCTGGTGCTAAAAGCAATGGGTAGAAGTTCAGCAGCAGATAGAACATGTATATAGTTCTGAAGTTACTCCCTTTGGAATTCATAATTAATTTACTTAATCATTTGTGTTGTTGTTTTGAGACAGGGTCTCAGTCCAGGCTGGCCTTGAACTTGCAGTGATCCTCCTGCCTCAGCCTGCCAAGTGCTGGGATTGCAGGTGTGCACGACCATGCCCATCTTATTTACTTAAGCATTACAAAGAGAAAAAATAGCAACTTATAGTGCAAAAGCCTTCACTATGAGATAGGAACTAAAAATCCTCAGCCCCGCATGCCCCTTGATCTGCTCACTGAGCAGGACGCGACAACACTTCCGATGGTTCCTGCTGAACACGAAGAGCCTGAGGTGATCACAAAAAAAGCAGCCGGCAAACCCGGACTGAAGGACAGTGTACCAAATGACTGGCCTGTATGCCTCAAAGACATGAAAGATAGAGACCATGGCTGCAGGGCACCCTGATGTAGTGCGCGACCCTAGACTTGACCCAGGGAAGAGAAAGGGAAAAACACAGGAGTAAGAGACACTGCTCGGACAACTGGCAAATGTGAGTCTGGCACATGGTGAGACCAGCTGAACGTCCTGATTCTGGGAAAGGTACTGTGGTTATATGAGAGGAAGCCCTTGTCCCTAGCATTGTTTTAAAATGAAAAAATAAATTACATACCTGGCCTTCTTCCGGAGTAACTTCTGAGACTCGGGATAATGCACCAAAATTTCGTTCAAGTCCTTCTTATCCAGAATGAAGAGGTTGGTGAAGCCGTGTGCCACCACATTGGCAGTGCGCCGATTCCCACCCCCAATGGCCAGCAGGCTGGGGGAGAAGGGAGGCTGTGAGACCCTACTTTGGAGCTCATTCATGCTGCTACCCAGTCTGCTCCCCTGGAGCCCGGTGGTGGCCCTGAGGCAGCGAGCGCCCAGACCTCCCTCCAGGGCAGCCAGTGCTGTAGCCCAGGGCCCAGACCCACCAGGCGGCCTCCCCCTCCCAGCCTGTGCCCCGGCCTCCTGCTACCCCAGCCCCTCTCACCTTATCTCTCCAAACACGGACCCGGCTTTCAGTGTCACCAGCACCGCCTTGCCATCAGGGCCCCCCAGGACCTGCACCTGGCCTGCCTGGATGATGTACATCTCGCGGCCAATCTCCCCCTGAAACAGAGGAGGCCTGAGCCCCTCCACCACCCCCAAGTGCCCTCAAAGCCAAGGACTGGGCCCAGACACCAGCAGCCCAGCAAGGAGGCACTAAGGCTGGGTCCCACCCTGCAGCTGAGATGGTCGCTTTCCTATCAGGGCTCAGTCTCCTTGCCTGGGGATGGGGAGAAGAGCAGCCCTTGTGCTGCGGTGTCATGCCACGGCAAGTGCCAGGCTGCCTGGGAGGTGCAGGGGCAATAGGTTCTGTGGATTCCCAACCACACCAGGGGTGGTGAACATCCATGTGCAGCCTCAGCCAGGAGCAGCCAGCACCTGCCAGCCGAGGCAGGGAGGCCCATGATGGTGAGGTCCCGCAGGTCAAAGCACTTCTCTGAGCCCTGTCCATGGTGGATCTGCTGCTTCAGTCTCCACAACCCGCAGGTTCTTTGCACTGAGCCACATTTCCAGGCTTTTTTTAAAGTTTTATTTTGAGAAAGGGTCTTGCTAAGTCATCAAGTTGCCCTGGCTGGTCTGGAACTTGCAATCCTCCTGCCTCAGCCTGCTGGATTGTACTTTTCTAAGGTCATAAAGTGAGGGTAAGGCAGAGTCAGGATTCTCATTGAGTCTGGTATGGCATTCATGGCTGTTACAGGTTGAATCGTGCCCCATTCCCAATCTACATTTTGAAACACCGATCCCCAGGACCTTAGAATGTGACCTGATTTGGTAACAGAGTTGTGGCAGATGTAATTAAGATAAGGCCACACTAGAACAAGGTGGGAGCCTAATCCAATCAATCCAATGGGTGTCCTCACAAAAAGAGAATTGGACACAGAGATAGGCATGGTAGGAGACATGGAAGAGACACAGAGAAGTTGGCCTAGGGCAGGCCAACAGGCGTGTAGTCTGGCGGCCCCACCAAATGCCCACAATGGCCGAGTCCCAAGGCAAATGAATGAACAGGAAGGAAGGGAGGGAGGGAGGATGGAGGAGCGTGTAGTCAGACTAGTACCAGCCTGCCACACACCTTCCAGTCTTCAGGCCCTTCCAGCCCCATCTGGCCTGCCACCTGTCAGGCACACCTGGCACGTTTAAATGCGTCCCCAGGACAGCAACCCAGTGACACAGCACCCCTCACACACGCACAACCAGTCCCCAGCCAGGAAGTGCCGTGGCTGCCTGCTTCCAGGTGCAGCCTGAAGCCTCACTCGCCAGCACCTCTGGTATCTCAGGGAAGTGTCAAGCAGAACCGGACAGCAGAGGGCGCTGCTCACACAGCCACAAGCGCTCACTTCAATTCACAGCCTCAACCTAGCCAATGTGCCAAGGCCGGAGCGGCCTCCTCTCACTGAGAGCAAACTGCATCACCACGCAGGTGATAGTGACAGCAGTCGTGCCAGCTCTGTGCCAAACTGTAGGCCTATCTATCTTATTCGGTCCTTCCAGACACTGAATAAGGCTACCCATATGAGGTAGACACTACCCATACGCACACTTCATCCAGGAGAAGAACAGGACTCAGAAAGAGCGAGCCACTTGCTCAGAGCTACACAGCTAGGAAGTGGTTCCCAGGTCCAGACAGATCACTCTGTTGTTCCCAAACCCAAGCCTCTAAGGCTGAAGCTTTAAGTTCTCAGCCATCTACGGCATCCTTTTCTCCCTCTTCCCCCAGTGCTCTGCTTGCAGAAACTTCAGTGCTACATACCCTATGGCCAGAGTCAGGGGCCCCCTTGGGCTGGGACTCCCAACTCTTACAGGGCCCACCTGGCCATCATCTTCCCCTGTACACACACCCAGCCTTACTGCCAGCTCCATATGAGAAGACTGAGCCCTGGGTTCCTGACCCCATTGACCTTGGTGTCACCCCGAATCTTGAAAGAAGGAAGCACAAAGGGCTGGATCTACCAGGGTACCGGTTTGCCAGGCACATGTGTTCTCCCCCGCCCCGTTTCCGAATGGGAAGAGGGAGACCCTGAGAGGATCCTCCATCCCTTCCCTGTGAACGGGCTCCTGTCCCGTCCCCGCCCCATCCCACGTGGGGAGAGCTGCAGGACTCTGTTTCACAGCCCGGTCCCCAGTCAGATGGACTCTCTGGCCAGTCCCTGCCTGGCACTGCAGCCCAGGGCGTCTCGGGCGCTCCCAGCCCCGCTCCGTGGGAGGAAGGCTGTGGCCTAACCAGCTCCCCTGGGCTCCGGCGCTCACCTTCTTGCACACGTAGTCATTGGGCAGGTAGACCACGGAGCGCAAGCGCTTCAGCATGTCGAAGATCATCTGCCGGTCACAGCCCTGCCCAGGGAGGAGAAGGGAAGGAGCCCCGTTAGAGGGCTATTCAGGCTTGGGGTCCCCAGAGTCCCAAAGGAGAGGGTGCCAGGGCGTACCTGAAAGAGCGCCACCTTGCTAACGATGTCATAGTTCACGTCGATGGCAAGGTCCAGCCGCATCTTGTCCGGAAGCTGCACCATCAACTCTGACTCATCTGTGAACAGGACCTGGAGGGTCAGAGCGGGGGCAGCCCAACCCTCACACACCTACAGCCCCGGCCACCTTCCCTGCTGTCCTGGATCCAGCACTTCACCTCCAGGTCTTTGTCAGTACGATCCCTTTGCCAGGAAAGCCTTACCCACTTCCCTAACTCCCAATCATTCTTCAAAACCCAGCACCAGTGTCACCTCTTCCAGGAAGCCTTTCCTGAACACTCCCAACACAGCCTCTGCACCAACGGTTCCAGGGCTGTAGCACTAGTTATCCCTTCATTGCCAATGTTGATGAAATGCACACACATACTAGTAAAACAACATTGGAAAGAACTAGGGTTTTTTTTGTTATATCCAACATGATACCCCCCCCACGCACCAGGGATGGAACTCTTTTGAGGTAGGCAAGGTGCCTGTGAGCTAAATCCCCAGCCCCTGAGCAAGAACTAGTTTATCTAGCACTTACCATGTGTAAGCCATGTGTGTGTGGTGGGGGTGGCTCTGAGTCCCACAACCACTTTGTCCAAGCCCTTGCTAGAGGATGTGTGGACCCAGTGTACAGTTCCTCAGGTGGAGACCTTCCAAGGCTCCTGTGAGGACCCCTGAGTGTCACCTGCAGCAACACACTGTGTGTGTGTGTGTGTGTGTGTACACATGCCTGGTACTGGGAATGGAACACAGGGCTTTCACACTGAGCTACATCCCCAGGCTTTTTAAAAATTTTTGTATTTTGAGACAGGACCTCACTAAACAGTCTGGGCTCAAACTTTCAATCCTCCTGCCTCGGCCTTCAGTGCTGTGGTTATAGCCTGGCCTTCACAGACCATGCCTGACCTTTAAATCAACTCTTTTTTCTTAAAATTTTTCTTTTTAGTGGTGCTGGGAATTGAGCCCAGGGCCTTGCAGATGCTAGGCAAGGGCTCTACATCTGAGCTACATTCCCAGCACTTTGTGTGCCTGATTTTTACAAATATTATTTAATTTAGTCCTCTCCACAACCCAAGGAGGCTCACTCCTCCAACCCCTCTTACAGACCAGCGGGGGCATTGGCTTGCCTGGCGCCATCCAGGGAGATGGAAGGAGAATGTGCCCAGACTGCGGGGCCTCAGAGCCCGTGCAGGGGAGCGGGGCCATGTCCCTGGTGCTCCCCACGGGGTGTAGGTGCTATGACAGAGGAAAGGAGGGAAGAGAAGAAGCTAGGGAGGGACTTCTCCTTCCTGATTCAAACTTCAGCTTTGCTCTCCGGTGGGGCAGTGTCTCAAGGTGCACTGAGATGGGAGCCCAGGAGACAGGCCCGCAAGTCTTCAGGAGTGTCATGACGGCCCAGCTTGGGGCACCTCCCAGGCCTCTTCAGGTCCCTCTCACGTGAGCTTTGGGGCTGCAGCCAAGGGAGGGCCCAGTGCTTGGGCCTCAGAGACACAGGACAAGGGAAGAAACAGAAGGCATGGGGGGGGTCTTACCCAGCATGCCTTGGGAGTGCCAGGTGTACTCATACCAGGTCTTGACGCGGTTCTGTACAGACCTGGGGATCTTGTAGAAGTTCATGTACTTCACTGTGCTGTCCATGCAGCTGCGATAGTAGGTCTGTCCCGCAGTGGCCGCCCCTACCACATCTCTCATCTGGGGCAGGACAGGAAGCAAGTTTTGGAATGCGTCACTTTACCTAGATAGGGGCACATGCTCATGGGGGCGGGCAGATGTCCACACACAGAGGTTTACTGGTAAGAAAAAGTCCTGCCTCCAGTAGGGAGCTATTGGTCTCTCCAGTGGCAGCAGATCCAGAGGGCCAGGCAAGCAGGGGACACCTCTGGGTGGGGCTGATTCTGGTACAGGGTGGCTTTGAGTGCCACAGCCACTTTGTCCAAGCCCTTGCTAGAGGATGTGTGGACCCAGTGTACAGTTCCTCAGGTGGGGGCCTTCCTAGGCCCCTGTGAGGACCCCTGAGCGTCACCTGCAGCATGCTGGAAACACAAGGGGTCTCTCCTGCCTTTCATTAAGCCATGCAGGCAAGCTTGCCAGGGCTCTCAAAAGGACTGACATTTTCAGTGGAAATGACCTCAGAGAGAGAGAGACAGGAGAGCTAGAACACCAGCGGCACCCCAGGCTTCCAATTCTCAGCCCAGCGCTCCTTCCCCGGCCATCTATCTGTTTTCCGGCTTCCCACTGCTTTGCACTTACAGCTGCAGTCCCTGTGCAGCACTTTCAATGTGATCCTTCCTGACCTATGATCCCGCAGCAGCACAACCCCTCAGAGCCCTCTAGGTGTGATATAGGCCTACATTCCTAAGAAAATACGACTTTAATACTGAAAAGCCTTAACTGCAAAGCAGTTCCTCTTTCTTCTCCCACTCAGTGGTGATCTTTCCAGGAACCAGGGCCACAGGGGTCCTCCCCGGCTGGGACATGGACACTGTGACCTTTCAGAAGCCAAGTCATCTCATGTTTTCTTGAAATTTAACTCTTGTAAGTGGGTGCTAAAACTGGGTTACATTTTTACCACTGAAGTATGAAATGAACTAGCACTAGGTTTGTTTTTTATCGAGTACTATGTTGATTAAACCATTAACATACTTGAAGTTATATTCTACAAATTCTACAATGTTGATTGAACTATTTGACAGTAACTACCATCAAGCGTAGCACTTTTTTTTTTCAGGTTTGGAATGAGGAAAACTGAAATTTTGAAAACTCTCCCTGGGGTAAAGACTGCTGAGAAAACCCTGTCCAGAAAAAGGAACGGGACTGTCCCCAGCAAGGCGTCTGCCTTCTGTCTTGTTACCTCTGCTTATCTGGGAGAGAAGTGGGTTCTGGAAATAAAAAACAGTGAACTAGGAAAGAAAAGTCCCAAGGCAACAGGCAGAAGGGCTGAAGCTTCTGGCAGCAGTGGGAGGGGCCCTGTGGGTGTGGGCTGGGACCCCAGGCTGAGTCCCAGCTACCTGTCCAATCATCACAGAGAAAGCGAAGACACCCGTGAAATAGTTCAACAGCTGGAAGACAATTTCAAAGAGCGTCTGGGGGTCGGGCAGCCCCCCGATGGTGATGAGGGTCTTCACAGCCCAGTAGTAGCAGCGAATGTAACTGGAGAGAGAAGAAGAAAGGGGCCTCCGTCATAACAGGACACTCTGCCGACCTCGGGCCGCCTGGCTCAGACCCTGTGATAGGTGTGCACCATGCAAAGAGGGACAGCTTACAGGCCTTATGCACAAACACCTGCCTCTCACACAGGCAGGGCAATTTGTCCCTGGCTATGCCCCACCCCTGCAGGGGCATGTGGTGATCCCAGAAGATATCCAGGAAGAGTTGGGGGAGAATAGACCAGTCCTGATGACAGCCCTCAATTTCCGCAGTTATTTCCTTTGCTATCCCCCATCATGCTGCTTACAGAAAGCAAGTGTTACAGTGTGTATCTAGATGTGCCCCCAAAGCCTCATGTGCTCATAGGTGGGGCTTTAGGGAGGAGATTAGATCACTGGGCCATGATGCTCGTCAGTGGATTAGTCTACTGAGTTGATAGCTAACAGTGATGTTGGGAAGTCAAGTCAGATTCGAGGCAGTAGGTCACTGGAGGCATGGCCTAGAAGGCTCCATCTCCCTCCCTCCTCCCTTGACCTGTCTCTCTGCTTCCCACCACCATGCCATGAGCTACTTGTCCTCTGCTGTGCTGCCCTGCCTTGGAGCCAGTGACTATGGACTGAATCTCTACAAACTGTAAACCAAGTAAACCTTTCTTCCTTTAACTGTGGGTGTCAGCTATTTTGTTCCAGCAATGAGAAAGTAACTAAGACAAAGAACAACATCAGAGCTGGAAGATCCTGTCAGTCCTCACATCTGCAGGTTTGCATTGGGAGATCCAATAAGCACAGGTGGAAAATGATTTTTGGGGGGAGTACTGGGGATTAAACTCGGGACCTTGTCTGTGTGAGCAGGCAGCGGCACCACTGAGCTAAATCCCTGACCCCTGGAAAATGATTTTTAAAAATTCTGTCTGTACTGAACAAGATATCTTCTCTGGTCAGTATTCCCTAAACAATACTGTGTAACAAGAATTTATGTAGCATTTGCATTGTACTAGGTATTGCAAATACTCTAAAGATAATTTAGTATAGGTACATGTGCATAAATTATATGAAAATACCGCATCATTCCCTACAAGGGCATGTGCAGCCTCAAATTTTGGCATCTCCTAGAACCAATCTCCTGTGGCCCCTGGGAGATACCTGTATCTTGAGTGACATCATCTCTGTCCCTTCCTCCTCGTCATCCATTTTCTAGGTAATGAAACTGAGCACCACACCAAGGGAAAGGGAACCCCCATGGTCACCAGCTTGCAGGTTCCAGAGCTGGGACTAGAACCAAGGTGCTGGCTGTTCCCCAACCCAGGCTCATGATTGATGGCGAAGGGAGGAATGGGTGCTGGGGGGTCCTGCTGTGTGGTAAATGGCACAGGAAATGCCCTGGGCTTGTCTAATCATCACAAAGCAGCAAGATCCCCTACACTGGTCCACACCTCCAGGCTGAGCCTAGAGGAGTGTGCCGAGTGCTGGTAGGAGGAAGCAGAGGTTGCTGGAGAATTAGAGGGTGGCTGTGCTTCTGACTGAATGTGGCTTTGGGCTTCAGGGCACCTCCTTGTCCTGTTTGTTGCCTGGAAATCTCAGGACAACACAAACCTGCCCAGTCAAGGCCCCATCATACCAGACCTGGACACCAGAGGGCGCACCAAGCAGCCCTCCTAGGGACTGAGCAGCCCCTAAACCTCCAGGCCCCTGGGCTGGGAAGCTGGGGCACCACGATTCAGGTGGCTGGGCCACCAACAGAGAGAGGACATAGGAGTGATGTCCACAAAGCTCTGGCTCCCCCTATGAGTTCCATCATTAGAGTAATCTTTCATCAGCATGGCACATCCTAGAGACCTCCCCAAAGTCTTGTGTCTTCCTGCTATGGCTCTGTGGGGACCTCCCTCCATGTCCCAGAGCCAGAGACCTCTGAAACCTGGTGGATGACCACGTCCTCTTCCTGCTTGCCATCCCTTCCCAGGGAATGGGTCCTTAGCTTGCCAGGGCACAAACCCCTTTGAGAATCAAAGGAAAGCCATGAAAATCTCCTTAGAAAAGCCAACATAGTCTCAGAATTTAGCTCCAAATTCGCAGGGGAGGATTTTAAACAGGAATAATACCCATTAATACACAGTTGACGTTCATCCTGTCTTCCGGATCCTATGTGGGTCTTACACCAGCAGCACAACTTGCCCTCAACAGCTGTGTACCAAGTGCTGTGTGGTCCCTTGTGGACACCCAGCTCTGGAGAGCAGGGTCTGAATTCCTTGAGGAAGCTGTTTGGCAACCTGTCTCTGCCTATGTTTCTAGAAACTTCCACAGGTCCCATCGCCTTCAGCCATACTGGGCTCTCAATCCTTGACTCTGTTATCTTGCAATTTTCTACCATTCCACTTTTAAATTTAATTTCATCATTTTGTTGTGTTTTGTTTTTGCAGGGCTATGGATAGAACCCAGGGCCTCATGTATGTGCTAGGCAAGAGCTCTACCACTAAGTGAGATACCCAGTTCCTTTTATTTTATTTAGAGACAGGATCTCTCCAAGTTGCCCAGGCTGGCCTCGAACTTGGGATCTTCCTGGTTAGCATCCCGAGTAGCTGAGATTACAGGCATTCCCCACCCTGCCCAGTAAAAACTTTTCACCTCTCTTCATGTGATTCCTTCCCTTGGTTCTCTGTCCCTTTTTTCCATCTCTCAAAGCCAAGACCAAGGCTAACTAGCTTAACTTTTGGTGAAATTGGCTACACCCATTCCCATTGCCCTCACACACACACCCCCCCAGGCACCAGGCACTACTCTTTTTCCCTGAGGTAGACCGTTCAGCAGTCAAGGCTCTGTAACCACACTGCTTGGGTCCCAGCTCTGTAACTATAAACTGTGTGATCTTGAGGGTTCACATCTGTCACTTCCTCTGTCATATGGGAAGAGTAGCAATAGCTATCATGTGACTGTTATTACTATGTTAAGTGTTTTGATGGGGCTGGTACATATTAATAGTAATAAGCGTTCTGCAAGGCTCATTGCTGTTGTGGTTGTTATTGTCACCACTGTATGATGTCTCATCTGTGGGAATGGCGAGTAGGTCCCTCTGGTTTGCCAGTTCCTCCATGACTGGCCCTGCCGGGGGAGCAGTGCAGAGAAGCACGCTCGGGCCCCTTTTCCATTGGCCTTGCCCCTGGGCTGGCAGAGTGTATGCATCTGCTCTCTGTATTTGCCAACCCTACAGGACTTTAGGATGCTGAGAGGATCTTGGTTTTTGCTTTTCGTTTTTTTGTTTGTTTGTTTGTTTTTTTAAAAAAAGTCTCACTATGCAGTTCAGGCTGGCCTTGAACTTACTACGTAGCATAGGCTGACCTCAAACTCACAGCGATACTCCTGCCTTGGCCTCCCGAGTGCTGGAATTACAAGTGTGTGCCACCATGCCTGGCTTTGTTGAAAGGATCTTTCCAGCAAGTCTCATTTGTATCTCTACCCTCTGCCCAGCACACAGCAGGTGCTCAGGAAGACATGGAGACTGAGCTGTTGAACCTTGTCATATCAGTGATTCCTTAGGAGCAAGGTAGCCTTGGCAACATGGTAGACTTCTGGCCAGGAGTCTTTATGCTATGAAGTATAAAGAGTAAGACCATCACCCAGGTATGGGAGGAAGGGAGCTCACCCATTTCCCACACCATCGTAAACCCAGTGAGTGGAGCCGATGCCCTGAAAGGCTGACGCCCAGTAGTAGAGACATGAGTTCAGGTGCAAGCTGTACAGCAGGTAGGCTGTGGTCCTGATGACCCTGCAGAGGAAGGAGCACGGACACAGACATGAGAGGGTGGGGATGACATCTTCTCCAGGGCCAGGACTGCAGGGAAGCAGCCAGTCCTCACCTGCCCTCAACCCCACCTCAGAGTTTCCCCCAGTGGGGCCGCACGATCCAGCTGTGATGCTCAGAGGGGTAGACACCCGGCCAGTCGGAAGCAGCAGCAGCTGGGCTGGCCCCATGGAATGTTCTTTAAAGCTGTGCCAGTTAGGGATGGTGGCACTCAGTCAGGACCTTGGGGCTGGAATTGGCCAGGGCGGCAGAACTACCTGCTCAGATGAATTCTAGGGTGGCAGTGGGGCCAGAGGAGAAATGTGTGGCCATGGGAAGAGCAGGCAGGGAACAGGGCGTGCAGAGAAGTGACAATGAAGCTATGCACCCCACGAGAGAGGTGCAGAGCTGCTGGGAGCTGTGCTCCCCTAGTGCAGCCTGACTGATCTTGTGCCCCACATTGGGTGTCTGTAAGAAGCCCCATGTTCTCATAAATGCTCCCTTCCATTGGAGCTAGGGTGAGGGCTTCAGTTCCCTGCACTGACCTCAAAATACTAGTGAACCTCTCCTGTCAACCTGTCACAATTAGGGGGAATAGGACACTCTTGATTCTCCGAAGAACAAACATCTCTTCAGAGGATGGGTGGAGCCAGGAAGAAGCCCAGCTCCGGGCTTCCGGCTTCCGCAGACAATGGGAAATGGAGGAGGGGGAGGTAAAAGGGGCAGAAATGAGTAGAGAGTGCCTCGTCCTGTGTGTGTACACTCGCATGCTGTGCACATGTGAGCATGTGTGTATGAGCACAAAACATGTGTACATGGGTGTCTCACCTGTAAACGTAGGCTTTGCTGAGGATGGCTTCCAGGCGGTTGTTAAACTCGAAGAAGGCCATGTACTGGGAGAAAGAGGAAGGCATCAGGGACAGCTGCTGTCTCAGGGGCACCCTGCCTTCACCTCCCTGTCCTCCCCAGGTGCTGAGGCCGAGGCCCTTCCTCCTGGAAGGGGGAGGAGATGAACAGCGAGTGTTCAAACCAAGGGTACTTAGCCCTTGGGCAGGGAGGGGCTGGACACCCCATTTAGGAATCTGATGACAGCCTTGGCCCGTCTTCACGACATTACGTATAATCTGTTCTTAGCCTTTGCTTATTATTTCTTGGGGACACCCAGACCTTCTGAATCCTATCATGAAACTTTTGGACGTACATAACATGCATCCCAGGTTAGGAGCCCTATTTTGAATGTTTATTCATAAAGAATAGAATTTTATAATGATATAGTTAATAACACCCACTTAAGTCCTTCAAAGGCTATGTGCAGTAATAAAAGTATAATGATAACTACTCTTCTTTATTGAGCTCCTGTATGATTGGCACCTCTTATACCTATCTTATTCCTTATTTACCTATGAGGTGTGTATTATCTTTTTTCCAGGGCTGGGGATCTTGCATGGTAGGCAAGCACCCACCAGTGAGCTACAGCCCAATCGCTGTCATCGTCCTTTGTCAGAGAGAAAACTAACACTCAGGCAAGTCTAGTAACTTTTCTGAAGCCCACACAGAGAACCGAGTCAACCTTTGAACCCAGATCAGACTCAATGCTGCCTGCAGTTTGCCTTATGCTATACCCTCTCTAGAGCTTGGTCTGCATTGAGTTGTTGATATTTGAAAACAATGAAGATTCCCTAAGGGAGTGATGGCGAACCTTTTAGAGCTTTCAGTGATGCAAACAGCCCACTGCCTTACATGTGCCACAGGTTGGCCACCACTGTCCGAAGGGATGTGTTAGCCATCATCCAAGTGTTTATTCTAACACCCATCCAGAGTTCACACTGGATGCAGAAAGACTACAGGCTTGGTCCCCTCACCTGAGGCTCAAAGGGTTGCATCCTCCAAGTTGTGCCAGATGTTAAACCGGTGAGTTTTGCCCACACACACCAACCCCCCATGAGGCATCTCACTTTCACATCTGGGATCAGTCTTGTCTGTGGGCCTAACTGTGGGCCTAACCTTTCTCACTCTGATGCTTGGCTCTAAAGCAGCTTCTGCAGCCCCCCTGGAGGCTGGCGTGCATCAGAGGAGAATGGTGCTGCTCAGTTTTCCTCTTCCTCCTGGTAGCTTCTGTGCTCAGTTCCAGCCAGATGTGCTTGCTTTTCATCTGGGCACCTGTAGTTTTTTCTAGCATTCTCTGCCCTATTTCTCCTATTGTGTTTACCACTTTTTTTATAAATTCCCTCACTTGCTGATTTTTGATAAAAGCACCAGACTTCAGCCAGGTATGTGGCACACCCCTGTAATCCCAGCACTCAGGAGGCTGAGACAGGAGGATCACTGTGAGTTTGAGGCCAGCTGGGGCTACATAGTGAGTTCAAGGCCAGCCTGAACTGCACAGTGAGACCCTGTCTCAAACAAAAAAACAACAACCCAAAACAGAACAAATCAAAACAAAAGCACCAGACATCATGTAAGGAGAAAGATGAGTTTAACCAGCTGGCCAACAAAATCCCTTTGGGGCTGTCTACCCTGAGCTCATGAAAGGACAGCAAAGGCTCCAGTGCACACTGTGCCTGGCAGACCCTCCCTGGGAGCCTGCTCCACCCCAGGAAAGGCAGAATAAACGTTGGGGTGACACCAAGCACTGGCCAGTGACCACTCCCGTAGTGGGCTGTGCACTCACACCCCTCCTTGGCACTTCCTTGATCCTGCGACCTTGGCTAATGCCAATCTGCCCATCTTTTAGGGCGAGACCGTCACAGAGCAGAAGCCCCCTCAAGCATCTCTGTAGCTACTGGGAGCTTCAAGTGGAGACAGATCGAGACTCTACTCCTTCCTCTCCGTGTGACTGGGACAAGCTGCTGAGCCTGCCTGCACCCCAGGCCCCTCATTTGCAGGACGTGGTAACAACGCTCACCTCCCGGGGTTTGGAGCTGCACTTGAAAAGCCCCTTGCTCCGCACCTAGCAGATGTGCCACAGATGCATGAGCCATTGGAATCCTTTTCCACTAAGAGGGGCTTGGAGTTTGAGCAGGGCCCCTGGGCCACCCCTTGCAGATACCTCCCTTTCCCCAGCTGCTCTGGAGGACTCGAAGGTGGCATGGAGGAGCTGCCAGTCTTACCTTTAAACAGCGGGGCAGGCGGAGGAGGGGGTTCATGCCGAATTTCAAGTAGAGGAAATCCAAGGGGAGGAGGCAGACCACATCCATCTGGAACCACAAGGGGACCGCACGGTGTATCAAACACATAACCACAAGGCTGAGCGTGGTTGAGGGCTGGGGCCCCACCTTCCAGGGACAGGGGAGGTCAGAATGTCCATGAAGGCCTCACGCTTGAGGCAAGGAGGTGCCCACCAAGAAGCCCACGTGGCTTCCAGGGCCACCTTGTCCACTCCAATGGCAGCTCTATTGCCATGACAATGGCCACTGTGCCCCCCAGAGGGAGGAGAAGGGAGCAGACCCAGAAAGGTCGTCTTTGAGGACTGCCCAGACCACATTGTTCTCAGGGATGAGCCTGTGGTTTACATCCACAGGAGCTCTCCCCGGCATCCCTCCAGATGGCAGGTACTGTGCCACGTGGGTCCCCAAGCACTCAGCTCCTGGGACCCCCCAGCCACTACACCTCTCATCCCAGCACACACCTTAAATCGGCGAGACTTCAGGTAGTTATTTCGCATATCCTTCTTATGTGTCTGGAAGAAGATGGAATGGTGACAGGGAGACGGTGTTAGAGCTTAAGCCCTGACTGGTGGGAAGGCACTGTGGAATTCCCCAAAGAACCCCTGCCCTTTCCTGTCAGAGTAGCCCCCAGCAGTGGAGCCAGAGTGGGCTCGCTGAGCTCCCGTGAAAGTCCCTCAGGTGACTGAAGCCCAGCGGGCTGGGCCCTGTCCAGGGTCACCAGCTAGATCCTGGTTGGTTGGATGGAAAGCGAGGGCCCTGAGGCTCACACTCTAGCGTGTAAGTCTTCCTGGGACCACATGCAATTTAACTCATCAAGCGCGCGCAACTGCTCTGATCAGACCCAGGAAGAGAATTCTTTCCTCTAAGTAATTCACGTTTTGTCTTTCGTTTGTTTTGTTTTTTGGTATGGGGAATTGAACTTGGGACCTTGCACTTGCAAGGCAGGCAGTGGAACCACTGAGCTCAATCCATGGCCCTTTTGTCTTGTTTTTGAGACAACATATTACCATCCTCCGGCCTCAGCCTCCTGAATGCTGATATTACAGGGATACACCACCACCTCTAGCTCTTCAAAGTCATTTCAGAAGCAAAACCTCAACTTGTCTGCACAAAGTAGAGCCTGTGCTGCCAATGTGGAATGCTTTTTGCTTTGCCACCCTGGGGACCTAACGCCAGCTCTCATGCCCCTGTACAAGTGCTCTACCCCTGAGCTCCATCCTCAGCCCTCAGTGGAATTTCAGAGAGTGGCTTGCTCAGGGAGGATGGGAACTATGCCAGCTGCTTTTGATAAGTCACAGTCAGGGTCTTGGTTTCCTCCCTGGTAAGTGGAGCCTGACTCAGGGCATGGAGTCACAGTGGCCCGAGCAACAGAGATCATCATACCCTTTTCAGGAGCCCCGGGATACAGTGATTACCAGCAGTTATGAGCCAAGCATGCTGCATGCATCATGTCAACCGATCCTCACACCACTGCTACCTGGTAGGAACTAGAACCAAACCGATTTTACAGACGAGACACTGAGCCTCAGAGAGGTGATCCAGCCAGGCCCACCTTCCCTAAAGCCCATTCACTGGACCACTTCTCCATCTTTCCCTCATCAGGTGGTCTAGAAACCATATGAACGATATCGATGTGCCTAATTTGAACTTATCAAAGGCATGTGAAGTAAGCAACCAGGCCACTGAACACGGGCGGCAGCTGCCCCTGAGATTTCGTTGTTTGCTTCTTTTGTCATCTGTCATAGCAGCAGGGATCGTCCCCTGAAGCGCCGGGTGTGAGCCCTGCCATGCTCCCCCTTCCACCTGCCTGTGACTCACAATGATGTCCCCGCCTCTGACGAACTGCAGTCGGATCTGGAAGACGGTGATGTCCAGGATGTAGACGAGGTCGCACAGGTAGTCCATCAGCAGCCACAGGTGGATGTTGCTGGGCGTCTGGTAGGGGAAAGCCCAGCGCACGGGAATCAGCCAGCAGTTCCAGTTCCAGGCCAGCACCACGAAGAACAGCCACAGGATGTACATGAGATCTGCAGGAGGGAGGGGTGGACCAGCTGGCGCCAGAGCGGAGAGGAACGAGGCGGGGCAGTGGCCAAGTGGGACTTTCACCTGGATGCTTGTCTGCACTTTCCCTACATGTGGTACTGTTGTAACTCTGTGTGTGTGCACGTGCGCGCGTATATGTTTGAAACTTTCTTTGCTTTAAAAACAAATCACTACTAGGCCTTTATAAACCAGAGTAGTCTGAGGAGAGGATATGGTGGTGTTATCATTATTATTATTTTGCTTTTAGTTTTTTGAGACAGCCTTTCTTTATGTAGTTCAGGCTGTCCTTGAACTCACTATGTAGTCTAGACTGGCCTCAAACTCACAGCAATCCTCCTGCCTCAGCCTTTTGAGTGCTGGGATCGCAGACGTGTACCACCACATCTGGACACCTGGCTGAGGGTGGCATTGTTAATGTCTAACTAAGTAGCAAGCACTTTTGCTTGCCTGCCTGCCTGCCTTCTTTTCTCAGCTACTTCCCCACCCCTTTTTAAAATTTGGAAATAGAGTCTCACTAACTTGCGGTCTCATTAATTTGCCCTTGAACTTTTCATCATCCTGCCTCAGCCTCTGGAGTAGATGAGATGAGTGGGTGCTTTCCTTCTTTTTGAAAATTTTCTAGCAATGTATTTCCTGCCTTATAAAAACAGAACAGTAAATAATGTGTGGAGGACAGACAGGAAGGTGGGTGGAAGGAAGGAAGGATGGATGATTGGCTACAGTAGGTCATATGGTCATTTTAGAAACTCAGTGGACACCAGGGTTGGAGCGCTGCCCCCTAGAGGACTTCCTGGGTAGCCTTGAGAAAGTCCCTCTGTGGAAACTGCCATGCTCTTCTCAAAGTCTTGGGGAAATGTGCAGAGGGAGGCAGGGAGGCACTGTGCACGTGTGAAGTGCTGTGACTCCTGAGGACTGTGGAGTAGGCTTGAAGGGAAGCAAGAGAGGTTCACACTAGACACTGGAAGAACCCCACACACACACCACAGTCGTCCACTCATCGCGGGCTCTGGGAAGGAGCCATGGTGGCCCAAGTAGAAAGAAGGCTTGGCCACAGCTCTGGAGTCCTGGGTCTCTGCTGTCTCTAGGCTGGGTAATCTCTCTGCGCCTCAGCTGCCTCATCACTGCGTGCGACCGTATGTTCCTGTTCCTGCTGTTATTGTTTGTTTGTTTGAAGAGATGAGGAAGTGCAGAATCCTTTTGAAGTGTAAGATAGCCACGGTCTCTCACCCACCACCGAAGCCAACCCTCTCCCACTGCCCACTGCCCAGCCCTCCACCCTGCACAGAGAACACCAGTCCCAGACTCACTGGTCAGGGGGTCGATGCTCTGAGGGAACTGGTACTTCTTCCAGGGCCGGCGCTTGAACTTGCAACAGAGCATGTCGCAGTAGTGTTCCTCCTCCGCCTGCTCCACCTCAGTGGGCTTCGAGACTGGGGCTGGCTCAGGGGCTTTCTTGGCTGGGGCTGCAGGATGTCACTGGTGACCATGTGACCCAGGCCTGAGAGCCTAACTGCCGGCCCTGGAGCCAGAACTCAGGGGCTTCATTTTATTCCACACCTACCATGAGCTCCATGTGAAGAAAGCAGTGCAGGCTCTTGCCAGCCCGGCACCTGCTTGTGTCTCTGTTTGGACCCCTTTGCTCCCTCTGATGGGAATCCAACCACTTCCTTGGGCCACCCCTGTCCTCACTGTTAGCTGGGAAGGGGCTTTGGGGCTCCACCACCCTTCCCCCGCCAGGTGGGCCACCTTCAGCCCCAGACTCACAGGGCTTAGGACTATCCTCGTCAGAGGTAACATCAGGGTCGATGAGCTTCTCCTTCACCTTCTCTGTCCGCTCCTTGAAGAGTTTCACCAGCTCCTGGAGCCGGTCATTGATGATGGCGCTGTTCTGGCTGGCCGTGGAGGCTGCGCGGTCCTGGTCACTGTAGGAACACCCCCGAGGCTGAGTGACTGAGCGGAAGGGGACCCAGCACCCAGGCAGAGCTGGGCAGCTGCTATATCTCACCTTCTAGCAGAGCCTACAGGAGGTAAGTCCTGCCCCTGCTTCCTTCTGACATCAGAAACGTCAGATGCGCTTTATTATCTTCTAGGAGAAAATTCAGTCTGGCAATAACACCCAGGAGCTCTGGCCCAGCATTTAGAAAGCATACTATGTCCCTTCTGATTCACATGGGCAGTTCTGAAAAAATGTTTGTTCCATTTGCAATTCAGGGGGAAACTCATGGAATTCAGTTCAGAGTTCAGTAAAATTGGGCTGTTAGTCCCACCGTGAATCATAGGAGATATATTTCTGGGCAGAACAGAGAGAGGAACTCAGGAAACAGCTAGTGGAAAAAGCAGTATAGACACATTATAGATCTGTTTAACTTCGAGAAAGTAAAGTTTATGCACTGCCAGGAAACGAGACAGAGACAGAAAGAATGAATAGGTCTGCTGACTTTCCTCCAGTGCGGGGCCTGTGCCCTAGGGAGCTGGGGTGGGTATAGGGCAGGTTTTCCCCTGAGTGGCTGCACTGTGACTACTCAAAGCACAGAAACTCCAATCCCCTACTCTCCTAGCACTCAACCCAGGATACCAGGCTGGAGACAACCCAGGTGGAGTTCTGAATAACAGGTGGTACGTGGGCTGGTGGAGACTGAGCTGCACGCCCACATCCTTTTCTCTCCCATTGTGAGCAGGGACTGGGATGTAGCCACCCAGCCAGAGATCACACTCCCAGGCATGGTCGTGTGCGCTCTCACAACCAGAAATGAGTAGATAGGAGACGTGCAACTTAGGGCCTCCTTGCTGAAGACAGGCCTGGAGCTCTTCCTTTCTAGCGGTGACCAGTGGGATGAGGAAGCCACATGGAGAAGTGGGCTGAGTCATCATCACCTAGATCCCTAAATGACTACATTCACATTACTACGTTACAGAGCTTTCCGCAGACATAAAATGTGCAACCAGTGTCATGACTAGGACATAGGAGGTATCTTCTTTTCCTTCAGCTGCTGAAATCTCTGGAGCTTATTTGTTATATGTTGCCTATCAAGCTATTGCCTGGGTCTCCATGTTGACCTACTTATGCTTTTTCAAGGATAACTTTTATTCTATCTAATTCTTATCATATTTTCTGATGCGAAGTCCTAACCCCATCCCTACCCTACAACATAAAATGTGAGTGCACTGTACAAAGCAGATAGATGGACTACAGGTGAGGTTTGAGATTTTTCCTACTTCTTATATTTTCTGAATTTTCTATAACAGTTAAGCATAAAGTACATGAATTGCATGAAGTTATGGATTTTTTATAAAAGACTAGAAGGAGATAGACAAGCCTAATGTCACCTGTGGCTAACCCCGGGGATGTGACAAGGAGTGTGACAGGGCTCCAGGCTGACACCATGGCTGGGAGACTCAGCATCAACCAGGAATTTAAAATCTTTTAGGAAAATATCTCCCCTTGGCCCAGCCTTTGGGACAATTAGCTGTCAGAGACCAGCTCCCAGTGCTGTCATCGTGATCTCTAAACACTGTTCTACACAGCAGCTGCATCAGAATCGCCCAGGGAGCTTTGGAAGATGTGGGTTCCCCAGGGCCACCATCTGAGGGTCTGGCCCAGGAGAGCTGGGTGGAGCCTGGAAAGCTGTATTTTCACAAGCTCCTTGGGGTGGAACCCACCGGAGACACTCGTGTCCTTCCTTGACCCACTGACCTCTACAGGGCCACTGTCAAGTGCCAGATCATCTACAGAGGGACCTCTGCCTTGAGCACTGCTGGCCATGGACACAGCTGGGCCCATGGCCTACTCCCATTCTGCAGAGTTTGCAGGACTCCTCTGCCACCCAAGAGCAGCCTGGGAGGAGACCCGGTCCTGTTGTACCACTCCTAAGCCCCTAGCAAGGCTGGCTTCATGTGGAGTTCTGAAAACATCCGCACTGCCACATGTCCCCTCATCCATCCAACCCCACCCAGCATTCCAACTCTGAGGCCGCAGAGGCAGCATCACTCACGCAGCCTCCTGAGGGGTGGTAGGGTCCGACCAGGTGACCACTGGGGACTCGGCTGGTGACAGCACCTTGAGCTCTTCAGCCTCATCATCCTGTGAAGGCAGCTTCTTCCTGTAAGGACCCAGGCACACAAAGGGAGAGCGAATGACTTTGACCCCTGAAGGTCACCTAGAACCAGTTTCTGGGTAGAAGACTGACAGGGAGGGGATGGTACTGCCTTAGGGTCCTCATTTTCCTAGAAGGAGGCACAAAGGAGAAGAGAGGGACACGGCCACTCTTGAACCTCAGTCTCCACACCTGCTCAATGGCCCAGCATAAAGGAAACAGCAGTGAGTTGGTATCTGGCAAACCTGGGTTTGCATCCCTGTCCTGCCTCTTGCTAGTGCCTGGACTTGGCAAATGAAACTCTCTGAGCCACCTCCGTTTCCTTCTCTGTAAAATGGGGCTAAATCTCCCCCAACTAAATGAAGGATTTAGAAGTCAGGTTTGGGCTTAAACATCTTCCCCCTCCCGCTCCACTTCCAGTCTGAAGTCCATCTCAGTTCTTATCACACCTTCCTTTCGGCCACCACAGGAGGCCATGGAGTCCAGTGTCCAGCGACAGTGTGACCTCGGGCAAGTCCCATCCCCTCCTGAGCCCTGGCTCCCTATCCAAAAATGGAAACTATGTTATCTGAGGGCTGAGTCTGCCAGACAGTGCTGCATTTGGAGGCCAATGGCGTCTAAAGTCTACCTGGATCTCAGGGACAAGAAGCTTCTTGCCCAGCCTTCGCCTGGGCTCCCTTGGTGCTATTTGACATTGGCCTCTTAGGTGTTCATGCTCTGGATTTTCCTACCCTCTGTCTCAACAGTGAGAATAAATTGCTTTACTGGAGAACTCAAAAATCTAGGAAGTGGAAAAGGGATCAGGAGTGAGTAATGTGTGAACACCTCCACAGCAGCCTCCCTCTGCCCCTCCTCTGAGAGGGCTCCCCAGAGCTGAACCCCGAGCTGCCCAGACCCGCATGGTTTCCTAGGGAGCTCACGGCCATCAGCAGAGGTTCTGACTTGGCGCAGAAGGCCAGTCACAGGCTGGCGGGGAGGATGCTGGGGGCAGGGCCCAGCCCTCCCTGGACAGACATCACATTCCCATGGCCCTGAGTCCTGTCAGGCTCCCAGGCGAACCTCAACCTCTCAACTCAGGATCCCACCATTACGGTTTCTAGTGGGACACAGGAGAAGGGACATGGAGCATCCACTCTTATTCCAGGAAGCTGTAGACTAGCCTGTCACCTTCTGCCAACTTGCCTAGGATGGCAAAACTCAGATTCACCTCTTTCACACTCTGATTAAAGGATAGCTTCTGGGAGGCTGAGATAGAAGGATCGAAAGTTTGAGCCCACCTTGGGCAACTTAGTGACTTAGGGAAATCCTGTCTCAAAATAGAAATTTTTAAAGACCAGAAATGTAGCTAGCTCAGTGCAAAAGCCCTATGTCCAATCCCCAGGGCTGTGAGTGGGGTATAAAAACAAAAAAAAAAGGGCAACCTCACACAAAAAGAGGGCTCAGAGTCCCCAGCTGGAACCCAAACTCCATCCTCCCATGCCCAGCCCAGGGCCCCCTCCTAGGCCTGAGGGCTCTGCTGCCTGGAAGAACCCAGAGTACAACACTAAACCACTGCTCTCCCAGCCTGTGCAGAGCAGCTCAGGGCAGCTGCTACTAAATCTTCAGTACAATTCCCACAGATGCGAGGTCCTGTTGCCCTCACAAGGGAAGGCGGAGGCCTAGAGAGGGCTCCTGACGCATCTCAAGGCCTGCGTCTGGTAGGTGGGGAGCTGGATTTTGCTCCGCACTCCCGGCCCGGGGCCTCCAAACCAGCCTAAACTGTGACAACGACTTTGCCTGATGCCCCTCGGTCAGAGCAGTGCTCTCCATGGCTTTGGGGCCCCTTCAGGTGCCCCCAAGCTCAGTTTGTCGCTGACCGCCATGCCCACTGGCCTCTCCCATCAGCCCTCGGAACTCCATGGCAGTTCATTCCCATGTTCATGTTCAACTAAGTGCTTGTTTGTCTATTCGATTACTTTCGGTCTACCTCAGACCCATGGTCCGCTCCAAGAGCAAGCGCAGGTCCCTGTCGGGCCTCTCCGGGACACGCGGCTCACCCAGAGGTGTTCAATAACTACATGTGTGTGGATGAGTGACCTGGACAAGAGGAACCTCCCCGGCTCAGCTGTCACCTTGACCCCTCCCTGCCCCTAAATATGCTCCCAGCCCAGCCCATGTGTAACTTCACCACCCTTATAGCTTCCCTGCCCACATACAGGAAACAACAGGGTACCTCTTTGACCGAGGCAGCACCATTGCTGGATAAACTAAGTCTAGTAAACTAAACTTGGGCCCTGGTAGAACTGTGAGCTGTGTTCCTAAGCTCAGCGAGATGGTGTCTCTTTCTTCCACTCAAATCTGAACATTTGTACATCTGGCCATCTCCATTCTGGCAGGCTCCTGATCTCAGCTGAGAAATTACTATATTTACAAACTTTACTTAGTAAAAGGTTACTATTCAAAATAAATATGGAATGCCTAAAACTAAATAGCAAAAAAAAAAAAAAAAAAAAAAA